ACCCTGTCTTGAAAAAAAAAAAAAAAAAAAAAAGAGAGAGAGAGAGAGAGGGAGAATAAGGATCCATTGTCACCTTAATAGAGTAAGGTGATAAAAATGGGTCTAGAACAGGGTTGCGGCCCCTGGGAAGCAGTGTGAGACCTGACTGAGTCCTGGCTCCTGGGTGGCTGCAGTCAGTGCCTGGGGCTGCTCCTGACCTCCTCCTTGTCTCTTCCCAGGATGCTGTTTGTGACTGTAGTGCCCAGTCGCTGGCCTCCTGCTTCGTCCGGCCATCCCGCAACACCATCCGACACTCTCCTTCCAAATGCAGGCTGCACCCTTCAGAGTCCGGCTGGGGTGGGGAGGAGAGGGCAGCCCCGCAGTGAGTCACAGAGCCGCCAGGCTCTCACCTGGAGCAGCCCAGACCCTGGGCTCACTCTGCCCAGGAGGAACAGCAGCTGTGCCACTGCCAGAGAAGAGCTTTTCAAGGTAAAGCAGGGTGTCCCGCTGACTGCTGGGAGATGACCTCTGATTTCCAGGGGAAGGCAGTGAGAGCAGGAGAAAGACCAAACCTGGGTGATCAGGACTGGGTCTCAAAAGCACCTGAAGAGCTCTGCAAGTCATCTCTGGGCCCTAAAGGGGGCCTGGCAACACCCACACCACTTCTTAGAAGGATCCAGAAAAGGAGGCCCTTCTGGCCAGGCTCCAGGAATGGGGCTGCCCCCTACTGACCACATGTGGAGAAGCCACTGAGAAGATTGGTTTTTGCTTAGGGTCCAGCTTGATGCTCTTGGACGAGCTGGGCTGGGCAGTGTCACCATCACTCTTGCTTCCTCCTCCCAGCCCTGCTGATGCAGGTGCTAGGCCTTCTTGGAGCAGGGAAGGGGGATATGATAGAGCAGAAGCCAGGGCCAAGTACACTTGGAATCCTGGAGCCCTGGATCCCCCTGCCTGTACTCACATGTAGCAAGAACTGGAGGCAGGTAGGAGTGTGTAAGGTATAAGGTTCAGAGTTCGAGGCCAGAAGATCTGACTGCCTTGTCAAGGTGACTTGAAGGCCCAACTTTCTTAGGAGACTCCATGAGACCAGAAATGGGTAGGGTCCATCTCAACACCTGATGCCGAGGTAAAAGCCTCCATGCCATGCCTTGATCCCTGGGGCCTCTTTCTTGGTAGCAGGGATGGCTGCCCTCAATCCTGCAGCAAGTAGGGGGCAGAAATGTTCCCTTGGAGAGACTCTATTGGTCAGGTCAGGCCAGAGAGAGCTCCAAGAGGCCAGTGACCCAGGACAAAGCCCAAGACAAGGGCCTACAAACATTTCTTGCCTAGATTGTTTATTTGAATTTTTCATACTATAAATATTTAAGGTGATTTACTTTATTTTAATAATTTAATTTACCCTCCCCCAAAGCCCTTAAGGTAATTTATTAGAGGTATTCTTGCCACTGGGACAACGTGGGGCTTGTAACACCATGGAGTCCCCTATGTGGCTGAGGCAGCTCAGCACCAGGCTCAGATTGCCTGGTTTTGTCAGAAGGGCCCCTTGGCAGAGCTGGGGCTCTGTACCTTATTCCCCCAATACCACTGGCCATTTAGTCTCAGATCACTACATTTTACTCATCACCCGGTACTTGGCCTGGCCTCTATGTGCCAGACTGTAAATGCTTCAGACAAAGTGTAGGCCAGAACGATGTCTCCACACCCTCCCCCCAACCCCAGCCTCCGTGATCCTTTTCACTCCTCCCCTCCCTCCAACATCTTTTCTCACAAGTCAGACATAGATGACTGCAACTCTGTTCTGAGCACAGCCACCACTCCATGTTCCCCATGTAGAACTCGCAGGAAAACAGGATGGACTTGTAGAATGTTGTCTATTGCAGCTTTGCACATGGATCTGAGAGTGTCTACGTAGCCTGCCAACCTGTTCACCAGCCCTTCTCTTAGCCTTACAGCCACTCATGGCTCTTCTTCTAGCCCTGGCTCTACTGCCTGTCCTTCCTATCCCCAAGAGCCGCCTGAGCCACACCAGTGTAACTCAGACTGCAGTATAAGGAGCTCATTTGCCTCCTCCTGGTGCCAATGAATCAATTTCAGTTGTACAGGTGATGATGTGCTGACCTCCTGTTCCTGGCTGGGGATCCAGAGTCATCCAAGGATGGATTGGCCTTTGTGCAGAGTTTCCCACCAGAAAGGCAGAGAGCCAACTGCGAGGCTAGTTTCCTCCAGGACTAGGGAGATGCCTCTGCACTCCCACCTACCAGTTTCCAGGCTTCCTTTTTAGGGACACCTGGAACAGTTACCCAAAGCCCCTCGACCCCATTCCCTATGGGCAGTATATCAGGGTCAGTCCATCCCACCAGCTGTTGCCTCGTGACCCAATGACTTGCATGGGCAGAGTCAGCAGGCCAGTGTACCGTGGGCCTGGTCCCTCCAGGATGCTACTGCTCTCCTCCAAAAGGTCAGAGACCCCCTCAAAGGTTATCTCCAGCTGAGGGGACCACACCAGGCCACAAGCCACCAGACGCCTTCTGCCACCTCCCAGAGCTGCTGAGAGCCAGGGAGGCTTGAAGAAAAGTCCCCATAGACCTGAACCCCAGGGCTTAGGGGCCACTCAGCCTTACCATCGTGTCCCATCTGGGTCGTTGTGCATTAGCAATGTCTCAGCACCTGGCCCCTGTGGCCCCCAGCAGGTGTTACAAGCTCCAAGACTTGGTTTTCAGTCCCTGTTTCTAATTCTTGCTTGCACTGTGCAAGACCTCTTGTCACTGTCCCTATAGAAGCTTCTGGACATAGGGCTTGACTGGGTTGAAATGTTACATGTAAATATTGGTTTGGTTTGACCTTTAGCATTTTACTTGGTAACTGGTTCTGTTTCCTTTTGGGGGGTGGAAGGGTTGGTTTGTAAATCTCTCTACTCTTTTGAAATGTAATTTCTAAGTTTGTTTGTTTCTTCAAATGCCTTTTATGTCTTGGTAACATTCCCAAAGCAGAAAACTGCCTGGCCTACTGGGACACTCCCCTGGAGGCCTGTGGTCGTGGGAAGGAGCAATGCCCTTTCTCCCAATCCATCCTTTCTGTTCACCTCCTCCTTTTCCTTCAGCCCTCTACCTCCTTCCCCACACACACACCTCCCTCCCTCCTCCCCTCCCTCCCTCCCTCTCTCTATCTCTCTCTCTCTCTCTCTCTCTCTCTCTCTCTCTCTCTCTGTCCCAAGGAACCTTGGGGTTCCAGTCTTTTATTGCCTGGCTTGGGCCCACAGGGTTGACACAAATTGGCTGGCGTGAGGTTGAGTTACATGATTGAAACTAAACTATGTCTCGTCTCTTCCCAGGGCTAAACCAAGTTAGACCATCTTGGAGGCAATGGTAATGGGTTTTGAAATGAAATTCAGAGCCCTTGGGGCCCCTGACTGAAGAAGGCATCAGAACGCATTTCCCTTTGCCTTGTAGCCTTCCTTCCAGTACTTACTCATCCCACCATGGCTTATTCTCTGGGAGCTCAAATTTGGCCCTATCTCCTGGTCTCTCCAAGGATATTCAACTACCACTTGGCCCCCAGGTGAAAAACTAAGTTCTCAAAAGACTTGACCTTCTGGCCGCCACCATGCCACTCTTGTATCTTTCATGGCTATGTCCATCACTCAGCTTTGTCTCTTGCCCAGAGCCCACCAGAGCCTTCCTCTTCCCCACCCACCCACCCAGAAGGAATCCCATTCCATTAACTGTCCACTAGCTCCCCCTTGTAGTAACAACCTTATTGTAGTAACAACCATCCCCTCACTGGCCTCCCTAGAGTACTTCACTGTTTAGAGGTCTCATCCCCCCACTCCCCCTCCTCTGGTCTCTCAAGGGCAACTCTTAGAGACAGTTTTGACAACACAGGGCTTAGTTCTCTTGTTCTGCAAATGAGAAAACAGATACAGTTCTCATGCCTGAGCCTAGAAGCAGGAGTTATCAACTTTACAATTAGACTCTTTCCTGCTTTCTGTACAAACTCTCTGGGACACCCAGGCCATCTCAAATTTGCCACTGCCAAACCCAGAGGCAAGACAAGAGCCCTGAGCACTAAGCTGAGATATTGGGGGTAGGGTGTCTCAACCAAACTCTGCTTTGGATAAATTACCCCAAGGAATTCCAAACGGCACCAAAAACACTGTTCCACCCTAGTCACGTGTTTCATAAAATAACAAAGCTAGAAAGTTGAGGCTGATGGCTCAGCCCTTTAACCCCAGCCAGTCAGAGGCTGAAGCAGGAGGATCAAGTTCAAAGCCTGCTTGGGCTATCGAGTGAGTTCATGGTCACCCTGGGCAGTTTTCTGAGGCCTTGTCCTCAAAATAATGATTTTAGAAAGTGCTGGGTAGCTCAGTGGTAGACGCTTGCCTACCATGTATGAGGCCCTGGGTTCTTTCCCTGGTATTGGAAAACAAAGAAAACTAGAAAATCAATGGGTGAGGACTGGGGACATCTCAGTACTTGCCTAGAATATGAAAAAAGAAATGTTCCCCAATCTACCCACTATAATTCCTATAATTACAGTTTAAATTAAACCCCCCCAAACGCAAACACACTTTTTGTTTGTCTGTTTTTTATTTTAGACATGATGGTGCTATGTATCCCTGGCAGATCTGGAAATTGCTATGTAGACCTTAAACTTGTGGTAATTCTCCTGCCTCTGCCTCCCAAATTTAATTAACTAATAATTAACAGGCACATACCACCACTCACAGCCTTAAATTTCATTCTGGAGTTTCCTGGTAGCCATGGTAAGAAAAGAAGCATATCTGGCTGTGTATCATTTCCACCAGTCGCGTGAGCAAGCACATTTACTCTGAAAGACACACTAATGTGGGACATGAGCTCTTTCTTCGAAGACTGAGGAGCTGGTTCGTGTTTTCCAGTACTATTTACAAAATAATAAACTGCCACCAACTCGAATGACCTTGGCCAGATCACATAGCTACTAGCCTGTGCCTCAGTTTCCCCAGTTATAAAGTGGTGGCTGCGGAAAGGCCAAATGCATCTTGCCTGTTTACCTTCCAAGAAAGGCTGAAGTTCTATACAAATCTGAAGTAAATCTGGCCCACATTCTACAGGCATTGAGCCCCACAGTGACCTAAATCCAGTGGTGCCTTCTCTCATTGGCCTTAAATAAAATAGACCAAAACCACAAGAGAATCTGAACCAAACCGCTCACATTTTAAAATGCTACTTTAGTCTTTTTAAGTAAGTGTGCTTTTCGTGTGTGTGTGTGTGTGTGTGTGTGTGTGTGTGTGTGTGTGTGTGTGTGCGTGCGTGCCCACATGCTGGAATTGAGACTCAGCATGTGAAACAAGCACTTTACCACTGAGCTACATCTTCAATACCTAAGAGGCTTTTTACAAATTATTTATTTTGAGACAATGTCTCCTGTATCATCAGTTGGACTCCAACTCACTGTGCAACCAAGGATGAACTTGAACTCCGGATCTTCCTGTCTCTAGCTCCACTGGCATTTGCAACAACCCCGACCTTAAGTGTCTTTTATGTACATTCACAATATTGTGTCACCACCACTATCTTCAGAACTTTTTCTTGGTCCCAAACTGAAATTGCACCCCCTCATAATAATAACTGACCCCTAAACAATAATTCCCACCCCTGCCCCAGGGCTGAATGACCTCTGCTCTAATTTCTTCCTTTTTGCACTGGTCTGTTTCAGATACTCATGTAGGCAGAATCCAACATTTATCCATTGTGGTCTCACCCTTCATATTTTACACATGGATAAGGGAGTGGCTTGTTCAAGGCCTCACAGCCAGGCAGGGGAGGAGCTACCAGCACATCCCAGGATTCCTGACTCTCAGAACGTTCTATACCGCCCAGCCCAGAAAACCCCGAGTCCCATCCCACTCTCTGCCTCCTGTCTTCCCTGCTTCTCCTAATAACAGTCACATCACCTTCCACTGGGCGGATGTGTGATGGACATGGACCCGGTGTTCACCTTTGGGTATTCTCTGCCCTGCCCACTCTCGGTGTCCTGGGTAAAGAGCAGAAGTTTGACCTCTTTTTCTTTGTTTTTGTGTCTCTCTGTCCATCCTGTTCTATACAGAGTGTGTGAAGCATGCTCTGTAGGCTCGACCTCACACCCCCACCATCCATTGTCATCCATAGCTTCGCCTCTTCCTGCCACCACTTCTTAGCTGGCTTCTACCATCAGATGAAGTGGTCCTAGCCTAGGACCAGCTTTTCTTCTCTGGGGCCGTGGGATTTCTATAGCACCAGCCTTCAGCTCTCCTATGCCCTCTGATACACTTTTTCCTCTTATGGATTTCGCCTAATCTTGGCAACCCTCTCCCTGTCCCTAAAAACTCAACATCCCACCCCATTGGGGACGTGCCATGTCCAGTTTGTCTTACAATTTGCTCTCAGATCTGAAATTATCCAGTCTTGTGTTTATTTTGTATTTTTTCCTCACTAGAGGCATCCCCTTTGTTCCATGCATCATGCAGCGCTGTGTCTTCCACCCTTCTCATGCATCACAGTCTCTTCCAGCCCTTCTCATCAGACTCGTCTCACCCCAGCAAACGCCCAGCCCAGAAAACCCCGAGTCCCATCCCACTCTCTGCCTCCTGTCTTCCCTGCTTCTCCTAATAACAGTCACATCACCTTCCACTGGGAGGATGTGTGATGGACATGGACCCGGTGTTCACCTTTGGGTATTCTCTGCCCTGCCCACTCTCGGTGGCCTGGGTAAAGAGCAGAAGTTTGACCTCTTTTTCTTTGTTTTTGTGTCTCTCTGTCCATCCTGTCTGTTCTCCCTTAGCCTTCACCTCCCCCAGATCAGCTCATCTTGGCAGAACCTTACCCTCCTGAACCAACAGCATTTGCAGTTAGCAGAATCCACAGACCCATTGAAGGGACTGAGGGCATGGTACTGGGCCACAGCTCCTGCTCAGGGCTCCTCTACCATCTGACCGCTTTCCTTCCTCAACCTTCCAGGAGCCTTCTTTTCCCTTCTTCTAACCCATTGACCCTGTTCTCCCCTCCCTGCTCTTCACAAGCTCCCTGGACCTAAGGGAAGAGTCTTTGGTTTCCTTTGAATATTGTGGAAGGACTGAGGCAGGCAGAGTCTGGATTCCTTGTCACACTACACCCAAAGTCACCTATGCCACTTCTATGAAGAGAAACCTCAGCTAGCACTCTGGAAACCTACCCCAAGTTTGAGCGTCCCAGTTTTATGGACCTCCCAGGTGCACCAGGATGACCCTATGGGCTTCAAATATCCTTTGCGTTTTGGGGTCCTACAGCCTCCATTGGATCATTTGGGCCCTGGCACCCCTGGCTCTTCTCTTGGCTCTGCCATTGATCTCTGTGCCTTATTTTACTTCTTTGCACAGGGGGGCTCACCCACCACCACATCATTCCTGTCATGGATCTAGATATTTTGGTACCTCTACAACTGGGCCTTACCAACATGGCTTGCCTTAGGAGTACCAGGTTGCCAAGGCAACTGGGGGCACTACTGGAGACTAGTGTCTCCAGTAGAAACCTCACCAGGAAAGTTGACAGAAGTGCAGTGCAGATTGTTAGCCCCATCCAGGGCCCTGTGAGGCAGGCCCAACAGCTTGGGGGGTTTGAAAGAGCCTCCACATAATTCTGATGTAGACAAGTTTGCCAGCAGCAACATCAACAAGGTCCTTGGCCTAGATGAGCTGTCAGTTCAGTTTGGGAAGACTGGGCCTGGCCTGGGCTGAGAACAATGGAAAACAGCCTGTCCACCAGACTTGTAGATTCAGGGCCTCTGCCCCCAACAAAACATCGCTGTGTTGTCTCCTATTTTTGGAAGCTGGAATGCGGGGGTGGGAGGGGTAGACATACGACACACAGCTCCAGAGCCTTCCTATTACCTCCTTGGCTCCACTTCTGCCCAGCTCACCATCCCCCACCAATTTGGGTTTTTGGGAAATCTGCATAGGTGGCCACAGCAGGCAAGGGGGAGAGTCTCCCAAGGCAGGAGGCAAAAAACGAACTTTTGTTTCTCCACCTGGGAAGAAACGAAATTGCCAGAGGGAAGAAACGAAATTGCCAGAGGGAAGAAACCTGTTGCGAGAAGAAAATCCAAGCCCCCTCACCATCAGCACTCCCACCCTGCACCTCCTTATCCTCCCAATCCCAGGGAGACCCGTAGACAGTGCCAAAAACCAGTTCCAAACTCCAGCGCATGGGAAAGAGCTAGAAACTGCCTTTCCTCCCCATCCTGACTCCCCCTCCCCCACCTGGCCAATACTGTGAAGTCCCTTTCTGCTCAGCCCGGTTTCCTGGGGAGGGTCCTGCAGTCGTGGGCCCTGGGGGACCCCTCAGGAGGGAAGAGACCAAGGGCATCCTTGGGCCAACTATCCACCCCTCCCTTCCACTGTTCTCCCCGCCTCCTCCTACTCTTCCTTCTCCTCTTCCTACCACTATCCCCATCCCCCTTTCTGTCTTTAAAGGCTCCTTCCTGGGATGGATTGGGTGACAGGAGGACAGCCGTCTAGTCCACCAGCTCTCCTCGCCCTGTGTCTTATTTCAGACATGAGAACTGTACAGTGTAAACTTACAAAGTGTTTTTAATGGTTGTAGATTGGAAATAAAGTATGTCATATAAACCGTTGCCTGCTTTCTGCTCTCTGCTTTTTCCTGGAGAGGCTGGTGGGGCCCCGGCAGATTTGAAAAGGACTCCATCCCACCTGGCATTGCTTAAGACAAAAACTGGAACCAGCTGGTTGGTTTGGAATCACCTAGATGGGGCCACTGGGGGGTTCTGGTGGCTCACAGCTGGTAACATCAGCGCCTCCCAGGAAGTGTGTCACCACTATTGAGAAACAAACACACAACACTCGGGAAGGAGAAAAGTAGGATTAGGCTTTTCTATAACATAATAATTTACTCTGGGGGAAAAGACACTTGTAAACATTACAGTGGAATTAATCATCACAAATGTATCATATCCTAACAATGTTGTGGACTGTGAATTTGGGAGTTGGGTGGTTCTATTTCATGGTTTCTGGAGGCTTGCCGTCAGATATCAACTAGGCTATGAGTATTTGCACCTTCGTGTGTTTGAAGGTGGAATCCAGGGTCTGTCTCCTGCATTTTAGGCGAACTTTCCACCAGAGAGCTATAGGCCTAGGCAGCCTGTATTATTTGGATTTCTGACTAGAACTGGAAGACCCCTTTATAAAGTGGCTAATTCACAAACCTGGGAAGCCAGTGCTGGCTATCAAGAAAGAAACTCAGTTCCTCAACACCAGGGGGAGCTTGTGTATCCTTGCAGTGAGGCCAGTAGCCTTCTTCAAGGCAAGTGATTTTTGAGAGAGCAGGGCAGAAATCACAAAGGCTTTTATGGCTAAGTCTTAAAAGATACATTTCTAAGATATTTTATTGGTTACATAAACTAACTCTTTTTCAGTTCAGGAGGCACTATACAGACACTTCACTGTAGGAAGAGACTACACACCTGGAAAAGGGTCATTGGGGCCATCTTGGAAGCTGCCTACTGTATTTAAGGGGGCACAATAAAGAAACTGCCGACATGACTGCTCCATGCTATGGTTGCCCCGGTCCTCGGGGCTCCAGTAATTCGTGGGTCTGAGGTGGATCAAGCCTGAAAATAATGGGCGAGAAAGAAGGAGGAGACCAAGCAGGGTTTTTGTCAAGGTCTGACTTTATTGATTATTACAAGGGGTTTTTAAAGAGAAAGGAGGAAGCAGAGAAAAAAGGAGGTAGGGGGAGGAATGAATGTTAATTGCTCTCAGGCCAGGGCGGGCATCCGGAATCTCCTGTGTTTACCTCAAGCACTAACCTAAGGAAGTGGGGGAAGGAATAGGTGTTAATTGCTTCTCAGGCCAGGTCCCAGAACCCGAGGGGTGGGATGCTAGCCTAGCTGGTGGCTAGCTAGGCGTGGGGGGTCGCCAAGGCTGGCTTCTGACATATGGTTACGATTTTTATTGTAGATATAAGACAGAATGGCCAGAGGCATCGGGAAGAGTCCAGAGCAGAGAGAGAAAAGCAGACTGGACATGGCCAGAGCTAGGGAAATGGGAGAGAATAGTAGAGATATTGGGGTAGCAAGAAATGGAGAATACAACAGGGAGGGAATAAGAGATTAAGTTCAAATAAGAGAGAAAGAGAGCGTAAGTGTGGAACTAGTAGAGAATAGTGAGTTAGAAGGGGAATGAGTAGCTGGAAGGTGGGAAGCCCGTGAGTGGAGGGAGACGGGCTACTAGTGTGGACTCTGAAATGTGTAACAGGCGCTTTTGATGGTGAGGGACCCTGGAAGGCAGCATGGGCTTTGCTATGCTGATAGGCACTACAGGTAGATGGAAACCAGTTTTACAAGTTTGCAAGGAATGCTGGTTTCCCTTTAACTGCCAGAAATCTTTCTATATTCCAGTTTTAACTCATTTCTGGGTATTTGGACAGCCTGAGACCTAACACCTACTTTTATAGATTTTCTCTTTTATTGGGGTCTAACAACAGCCAGGCCTGTGCCAGGCATGAAGGATATATTAGATGGGTAGAGCAATCTTGCTGCAGCCTGGGTTCAGGTCCTGAGACAGGGAAGGGGTGTTGGTTCAAATAAATGAATTGTCCAACCACCAGATGAGTTTACACAAGTGGCTGGCCCTGGATATCTCAAGTTGTCTTTATTTATACTTCAAAAATAAGCATGTTTTCCCCATACTAACAAATGTTTCCCCACCCTCCAGCATTAAACACCAGCAAAAATAAATATGTCAAATATTTTTCTCAACTTTTATACCAAAACATCTTTTTGTTTGTTTTGTCAAAACATCTTTTAAACTCAAAACAACACTTAACATTTTGCCAGCTTGGCCAAATATTGAGCCAGGTACATCCTGTCTTTACAAAACTAAAAGGTAATAAACATAGGCACACATTTTCAAGAATAACAATATTGTTCAAAACTCAACAAAGCGTATTTACAGAAATAGGGGTGATCTGCCTCCTAGTCTGTCAGCACTGAATCAGAACAGCTCCCAGGGTATGGAGTGACAGCTGGCATCCCCAGAGAAGAAACCTGAGAAGCATCAGTTCCCAAAGATTTTTAGGGGAAAATATTTTTTTAAAAAATGGGGTTTCCAGGAATGATCACATCTGTCCCATGCATGACTGACAACGTGACACTAAAAACTGCCAAGAGAATCATCAATATTATGAGAGAGATGAGAGAAGGTGTAGGCCATGTGGTCCCAGCAGTATTCTGCACTCTCCCGAGGTCCACTGGTCCTTGCCAAGAGAGACTGCTCCTGTGGGCTTTGCCTCATCTGGAGACACATTGGACAGCCACTTGTATACTGGCCCAGCTCCCAACACATGGGCCAGGGAAATAAGATACCAATCATCCATCACAGAAGTAGGAAGCCCCTGGGGAGCACACCCAAAGTTGGCATGTTGAACAAAGTGAATGGTAATGGATTGTAGGTAGGAAAGAGAGGAGATGGTTCAGAGAGAGAAAGAGCATACATACCTGAAGAAACCTAGGAAAGGGGGCAGAGACAGGCAAGATCAGTAATCCCAATAGTTGGGAGGGGGAGGCAGGAGGATCAGAAATTACAGTGTCATCTTTAGCTGTCTATTGAGTTTGAGGCCAGCCTGGGCTACATGAGAACCTGTTTCAAAATAACCAGAAATGGGGAGGAGATACTGAAGGAACCGGCTTCCCTTTTGGCAGCCATAACAGCCGAACACGTGCTTGCCATAAACCTGCCTTGGTCACTTAGAGGTCAGATGCCTGTCTCGTGACAAGGAACCTTAGTCACTAAAAGGTCAGATGCCTGTCTTGTGACAAGGAACCAATCAGAAGTTAGCTGGTGGCGCTATGCTTTACGACCCTGGGTGTGCTTTACGGACAAGCGCACGACAATGACGTAGAGAGCATAGCAACCACCCTGGGAGGGCCTATGAGCCATAACAACCAGTTGACCAATCAACACAGGGCAAGCCCTCCAAGCCTGGAGGCACACCAATCGTGAGCCTGTGCGTACCCCTAGACACTCCCCTTACGCTGCCCTATAAGATCTTTTGGGAGCCC